TTATTTTTGTTGTCTGTTTGGCTTGCATTTCCCCACATGTATCGCATCTGATCTCTGATATCTTTAGTCATGTTTGGCCAGTGTGTAGAGCTTCTAGTGTTCCAGGTGCACACTTTTATTCCAGAATGTCTCAAGTATCATCTTGAGAAATTCTATTAATGATCCATGTATTGTGATGTTAACCTCCTTTATATGATGCTGTTGTGTGCGCTCAGAGTATCTGAGTAGTTCCAGTATTTTCAAGAGAAAAATGAGGCTTCTGCACTAGTGTCTGGCTTTTCTGACAAAATGACTGGCTTGGGCAATGGTAAATCTTTGCCCTGTGGTTTGTTCTGATTCTTTCCAGCCTGCCTTGAAATTGTCATAGATCTGACTTGGATTATGCTTTCTGGCTGCCGGTTTTCTGTGGTTTTATTTCCTTGAACTCCTGGTTTTGTTCTGATGCCATAGTATCATGTTGCTGGATACAAGCTCACTACATACATGGCAGTCAGTTTCTTGTAATATACTTTCTAAGCGGTAACACTGCAGTTTCAGTAGGTTGCATTTGTAGACATTTTATGTGGGGGGGTTTTAATGCTCTCTTGGTTTGCAGCTACTTTCTACCAAATAGTTTTCCCATTCCTGAACATACTTGTTGAACTTTTTCCCCTTGAACAGTATTGTGAGAGGCTCCTTTTCAGACCTTTATGTAATTTTTCTCCAGTGATGGTAGTGGCCTTAATGGGAAAGCTGCCAACTTAACAAAAGTGAAAGCGTGATACCTAGCTTCTGTTGCCCTGCCATCACGTTGCAGCTGCCTTTTTGTTTGTTTTTCAAATGAGATAGCATAGGATCAGCTTTTGATGTCAACATGATGCAGCCATCATGTAATTGTGTCCATAGTGCATCTTTGTGCCTATTATTATTCCACCACAACAAGTTAATTAGCGGGAGACTACCTTTCTGGCAGGCATCCCCCAAGGGAAGCACCTACCCTGAGTGCCACTCGGATCCCCTTCCCTTGCCTCCTGCCACATATGCTGTTCTGCTTTTTGCTCCCTGACTTGTGTTCCCTCCTCCTTTCCCAGTCTACTGCATGCTGCACAGAGGTTGCCCGTACCACTAGATGTGTGCCATGGGTTGGCCACCCTTGAATTAGTTCGTGTCTTAACAATAACCTTGAGTCACCCATTTGCTTAGTTTATCAATATTCACAGTAAGTTTTTCTCTAAATTCTTTATTAGGTTTGTATAAAAGCACCTTGACAGTGGTATGGGCTGAAAATGCTATTGTCTCGCTCACTTCTAAGGTTTTAGTACTGCTTTGACATCCAGATAAGGGCAGGAAACTTGTATTGCTACCAGACCTTTTTTTTCCCCTGATTTTATAGGTCAGTAGGCCTAGATCCACTTCTGACACGGGTCAGTCTTCACAGGCATAAGGGAAGGGTGAACCAAGACAGTGTAACACTCAGAATGTATTCCTTCCTCCACATAGAGTGTCCTTTCTCTCAGCCGCTCCGAAAGCAGTTATCAGAACTGCCAGGTGTTACATTAGATCTATGTTGTTATAATCCCCCCTATGGGAAGCTATTGTAACACAAAAACATTGGCTTTATTGCTATCTACTTGATCACATTATGACCTTTGAATTTTGAATGCTACTTCTCATGGCACAAACAATTTGGGTGGAGGGAGGGAGTGACTTCTAAAGAATGTGGCTATGAGGTATCTGCTCTGTTACTGCTGACAGGCCTGCGGGCTAGGACCCTGGCCATCTGGCTTAACTGGGAAGTTGAGGAGGAGGAGGGAGGGAAATTAATTGGCAAGTTACTTGCTCTGTCTTTCTAGTCAATGTTCCTCCACTCCTCGTGGAAAAATTAATTGGGCTAGAAAACCAGTGTGACCTCACAGCTAAGCAGTTGGGGTGGGCAACTTGGGGGAGACCTGCGTTCCAGGTCTCTGAATCGGGTGTTAAATGTACAGTCTGGGGATCATTTGGCTTGAGGAGCTTCTCTCAGGCTGGACAACCCAATCCCAGATTTGGCCTATAATGCTTATCATCATGGCTTCCAGAGCTGTTGTGTTGGCACAGGTCAGCACATGGGGTTATTGTTGCTGCTGCTTGCCTTCCCTCCCCACAACCCCTGGCACTTACCCACCACTGAATTTCAATTTGTTGGTCACCAGTGGAAGCTGGCAACTGGAAAAGCAGGAGGAGGAGCAAGCAGCAATGGCACTAAACACTTGGGTGCTCTCCCACCTGTGGTGAGAAGCTCTGCAGCCCGGCTTTGGACACAAGTCATCTGGCCTGCAAGAATCCCTCTGGGCCGGATGGCCCATCCCCTGGCAATGGCCTAGCTCTGGACTGCTGGCATGGAATAAAGCCCACCAACCATGCAGCTTTGACACCCCTGCTTTGAATGAATTATCCGTATTTCCCCATTCACCTAACCACTAGTCTAGTGGTCACAATCTCTCTCGTGCTTTTATTAGTGCATAAATGTGTGTCTATATAGTGTGGAACTATACTATTAAAATACTAGTGGGGAATGCCAGATTCTCTCATTAGTGATTTCTTCTGAAAGGGAGGAAATGGCAGTCCAAATAGTGTCTAGCAGGTTCAGTTCTCTCCACAGTTCTCTCTTAGGTGAGATCTCTAATGTCTACACTACTGGATAAAATGAGGGGAGGGGAAGACTACCAATACTACTACCACGTGGTGGTATATGTATGGCCTGACCTAGTAGTATGTTTGTTATGAGCCTGCCTCCAGATGAGGCCTGCAGGCCATGTAGCATGCTCAGCAGGAGATCTGTTAAAACTATTTACAATTGTTCTGGAATTGCCTTGGTAAAAATATTGCTGAAAGTAAATCTCCAGGATTAGGTGGCAGTTGAGCCAGAGGTTTTTAAGATCTAAATTTTGGGCTTAGCCTACAGGGCAGTTAGGCAAGAATTAAATGGTTAAGTCCTTTTGTGGATCTAACTGGAAACTCCTATCCTTGCCTTTTAGATGTGTGTGTGTATATATACATCATTGGATTAAAAAAACAATATTTCAAGTGAGTTTAACTGCCAGCTGGATTTCCCTGAGCACTCAGCTCACATCGTTTGTTTCCATGAGTCATTTCTAGGCTAGCCAACAATAATGTAACAATACTCGAGTCACACGTAGCCTGGAGCCAACTTCTAGGCTTCTAGTTGAGCCTTTTGGGAGAAGTGTTTAAAAAGAAAAAAAATCCTGAACAAGAGGCAGTTCCTCTCTT